CCAGCAATTCAAGAGAAATTAATACTTCTGAAAACATACTCTGAACAAACCAATATATGCATGCAGATGGAGTTTTAGTTCTGTGCCTGATGTGACCTTACATGCTCCTGTAAATCCGTTTGAGAGCTGACTTCAGGGAAGACAGGCTCTAAATCTGAATACTAGTTCAAACAGAAAAAAAGGTTGGCGAAATTCATTTGAGTTTGTGCAAGTGGCCACACACAGTAGTGCCTGGCCTTCTCATACAGGAAATCCATAAAAGTTCAACAGTAGAAACTATGGCACTGAAGCTTAGAAGGCAGAAAACAGACCTGTGATCTAATCAGAGTAAGCTGTGGATTTCCAAGAGAGCTATCCCACGGCTGCTCCTGTGTCTCCAGCTCCTCCTCCAGCTCTAGCATGGGAAGTACTTTAGGAATTAATTTGCAAAAAAAATCCACAAGATATAACAAGGTATATACAGTAATGGCTGTACAACATTTATTCCATGGGAAAAACACAATAGGGCAAAGCACAGTGAAGACAGGAAAAAAACAAAAGAAATTTTGTCTAAGCATATGTTGGATGATGCTGTCAAAACTGTGCAAGCAAGGCCAGAGCAATCATAAAGATATATGGAATATTTCTAATTTCTTGCAATCTGGAATTGCTGGAAGTGTATCGGCTTCATTTCCTTTTTCCAAAATTCTTGAGTCCACCATAGTGAAATATGCCTGTCTGACAATGGCAGAGTTCAACTTAGTAAATAAATTTGGCAATCTGCATGTCAGAAACACGGCTATTCCTGGCAGCCTTGAATCTCAACTGCAGAGCTAATTTAACTTTTTCCATATGGTTTGGAAAAATGGCTATTCTGGCTCATTTATAATATGAACAGCTTTCATAAAAAGACCTACACAACCTATTTCATATATTGTGTAGTCATTAAACATCTATTGACTTACTGCAAATGCATCACTTGTTATCTACATTTTTCTTTTTTTTTTTTCCTGTGCCTCGTTCTCATACCTGCTGTGATCACAGTAAAGGGCATTGCCATGATGAAGTAATTCTTGGACTAACAAATACAAACAGAGTATTTATTAATCCAAAAATGAAGCACAAATTAGAAAACATGAGCTAATAAGAAGTAGTTTCCCAATATGGGAGCCAAGTGTCATTGTTGTGCCTGTCAATCCATACTTGGAGTTTGGAGTTTGTTCTGCGTGTGGTGTGTTATGGGCTGGACAAAATTAACAAATGGGGATGGGCTGATTTTGAGGAGAGAATCAGTGGGGACCCCGGAGGTCTTTGCTTTTGTAATCAAATTAGCAGAACTCAAAGGTAAGTGAGATAGAGCAGAATTTCCTTTGCTGATGAACCGCAGAACATGTGCTGGCCAACTAAATGTGCATAGCCATTTTCAAAACAAGGATATTTATACATGAAGATGTTTACCCATGTCTGTCTACTTGCAGTACTTGACCTGTGTGTCCACTGCAACTGCTACCATACCAAAAACACAAACATGAGCAAGGAGCTGCTCTTTTTAGCATACTTAAACCTGAGCACTGCAGAAAGCAGCAGTAATAATCTTGGCTGGTGGTCATAGCAGTCTCAGTGTACTACATTCAACAGAGCTCACGTACGTATCTCCTGAAGGACAGCACATGTTCAGATGTAACATGGAAAACAACAAGAGAGTAAATTTTCAAACTAGATTAGTATTTTGCTAATCTAAGTTACTCAGGAAGATGGTCTGCAGTGAGATCACTTCATATGCCCTGAGGCACAGGAGAAACACACAGCTCTTGAACAGATGTAACAGAGGGCTGACTTGGTTATGGCAGTGCCATAACCAAGGTCTAATCATAAATGTCTCCACCACAAGTGTGTTCTCTAATTTTCCTTACCTAATGGCCATTTACCCTATCATTGTCTAATTTCTACAGCACTATGCCCTGGGAAGCAATGTTCCACCTTTGTTCCCAATTCTACACACAGAGATTGGGAGGAAAAATTGGTACAGAAGAATTTGACTGAAAATAACTGTGCTGATAACAGTGCATCTTCTGCCCTTCAAAATATACCTCAATAGAGGGAATTACCTGCTTTTAAAGCAGTTCTGTTTGTACACTGTGAGACTGAGGCAGTGTTTAATACTTCATTGTGTTTGTCATGTTGAGGGGCCATAGAAGCCAAAGTTTCACTGTAATTTGGAGAAAATCAGCCTGTACTGCAAACTCCTGGTTAGCTAGATCACAGTTGGATGGTGATAATATTTTGGTACCATTACTACAGGGAACTCTTGTAGCATAAACCAGCCAAGCTCCACCACCTTCTCAGCTGAGAACAGCAGAACTGAAAGTTTTGCAATTAACTGCTGTAGAGAAAAACAAGGTAGGAAAACTGAGGAACAGAAATAATGGAGCTGCTAAGCAAATCTATATTCAGGCCAGACAGCCTGCACTTCATCCTGTTTTTAAAAAGGATTCATGATCCTTAATTGCATCAGGTGGGGAGTGCTGCTTGCTAACTGGGGCAGGGTCTCAGACTCTGGGGACTGTAAGCTCAATTCTTCTCCAACATTGGGATATTAGGCAACCTATTATTCATCCCTTGCATTCCTTTGCCCCAGCTTTAAAATGGGAAATCACAACTAGGAAGAAACAGGATATGGAATCATCTTATATTACAGTATAATTGCACTTCTGCAGTTCCATTCAACAGGGAATCTCATAGCAATACTCAGTCTCCTCTGAAGCCCATGGTCCTGCTGGGTGGTTGTGTTTTGGTCTTTTCTCCATTATTCATATCATCTTTCATCCTCCCTCTTCTTAGCATTACTTACTGCATATTGCATTGTAAACGTGTTTTAATATGGCAAACACCCACATTCATGGAAGAAATTTTTCAGCATAATGAGTTGCCTTAAACTTGTCGTATGCACTTTCCAGGATGACTATCACATTCGTCTGTATGTTACTACTGCCTTCACAAACACCACTAAAGTTAGGAGACAGTGCAAGTTAAACATTCATAAACCCACACCACAAAATTTCAACCTGATCTTCCACACTGGGGATCCAAATCTACCACTTCTCATGAGCCCCACCAATCTATGAAAACCCTGCTCTGTCTCCGCCTTGGACTGATGCTGAGATGAAAACCAACTGCTAGCAACCTAAAATTTCTTAAAGATAGAATAAAATGGCAAACCCTGTGTGGTTTGTGCAGAATACAGGCAGGTAACTGTGTCAGGGAGCTATTTTTTTCTTTTTCTGTGGCTTGTATTTTCCAGAGCTTTCTATCCAGCTAGCCTTGAAAGCACAAGCACTGCCTGGAATTCCTCCTGAGGATGTGAAGCCAAACTATAGCAGAAACTGGGGAAGGAGAGGCGTAGATTGTGAAAATGCAAAAAAGAGCTGAGGGAGATGCTAAGAATCAGAGCATTCTTCAGCATGGTGAACTTTTCAAGAACACTGTCAGAAAAGAGGAAAGAAGGAGATATGAAAACACAGTTCAGCAGATAGCTCAGTCCACACCCTCCTACACAACAGGGTCTTTTTGTAGAGGAGGTAATTTTCAACTGTAATTGATAGCACCCTTAGCAGCTTGTCAGACAAGCTGCCAGTTATGTAAAGGGTGATGACAAACCAATTTCTTCTACAGAAACCTACAAAATTGTATTTCCAAACTTCCTGCAGGTTAGCAACTGCATGCTGATAGCCCACATGCTTCAACACACTCAGCATGCCCCTCTGTACGAATATGGTAGACAGCATCCCTCTTTTTTGGACAATGGCACCTGAAAAGCCATGTTAAAAACATTTTCACTATAGCTCATGCCCTCTCCCTCTAGATTACATCCAGCTGAACCAAAACAAGCAGAATTACAATCTAGGTTTACAAAATACTAAGGAGAAGTATGAGAGAGGAACTGTACTCAATGACAGCTGCTTTCTAAAAGGCTACAAGACATTAATTAGTTGCTGCTGCTCTCTGCAGCCTGCCTCTGCCTAGCTTGGGAGGATAGGGCTACAGGTAAACAGCAGCAATAGGCCAGAATCATGCTCTACAGCAGGTCCCTACCTGGGATCTAGGACAAAAGTGAGCCATGCTCCAGCCAACCTTCCTTTCCTTTTATCAGCCTCATAAATGACGGTAGGAAAAAATAAGCAAGTCTAATAACATTGAAAAATTAAACAGCAGTTGATAAATAAACATGCTGAAAATAAAGTTTGACCAATCAAAACTAATACATGCTACCAAGCTGTTACTGAGATGCCATAAGTATTTAATAACAATTATGAAGAATAATGTACTCAACTAAAACCAATAGCTTCTCCAATCCCACCTTCTGCCCCTCAACTATCCATGGTGCACTCAGTTTAAGAGGTTATTCCTCACTCAACTTCAGAAGAGGACATTAACTTATACCCTGTGCTCCTCTTTACCCCTCTCCATACATGTCCTGAACATAACATTAGACTCTGGGGCTGTTTTTTCATGAATTTTCACTCCTCCCTGCTTCATGTGTTCTCCCGGTTCCAAGAGTCTTCAGCTTAAAAAAAAATCTCTTCCTGACAAGTTGGACAGTTTTCGTGGCAAGTGTCCATAGTCCCTCTGAGTTACTAACAGTCACACACAGAGCCTCACTTCTCTTCTCCTCCCTCCAGTCCTCACAGTGGCCCATTATGCTAAATCACACTGATCCAAAAATGGGAGCTGAGGGAGACACTCTGAAATAGGCTAGAAAAACTCTACTGTGGTATGGCCCGTAAGAGGAACAGCTTTTTTAAGCATTTGTGTCTCCGCTAAATAATTTCTGAAGTTCCACATTTAAATTCCCTCTCTAAGTGCTGCAGTCTGCCCTGTGAGGAGCTCACTAAAACTGAGGTAATGAAGGATATGATTAGTTTTCTGAGGGTGCTATGACCTAGAGGCAGGTCTGATTACATCATTTGTTTTGGGTTGAGTCTCAGGAGCTTTATAAAAAGCAGTCCTAAAAGGAGGGAGAGAGACAAGGGGAGAGAAGGGCAATAACTCATTAGCAGAAGCTCTGTATATGTGCATTCTGCTATTTGCCACATATCTACAAGGGAGTTTCTTTAGAGTACAGAGAAACCTGTGAGCTGTTGGAATATTATAAGTCTTTCCTTGAGATGTCAGCCAAGAGCTTCAGTATAGTCACAGTCGCTACTGTGCTTATTTTCTTCCTAAAGATACAACTCTCAATGCAAGCGCCGTTGAATGGTAAAGTCTTTCCGCTTTCTATTTTATTGTAACTTGTAACTTAGAGCAGCTAATGTATGTAGAAAACTGGCATCTTTTAATTATTACTATTTCAATAGCATGCTCAAAGTTGTATATTGTTGCAGTCTGCAGTTTTTTGGAGTTAGCATCCTTATTTCAATTTCTAAGAGTAGGTATTCTGATATATACAGGAAAAAGAAAATTGTCCTCTGATTTAGTTTGTGTTACAGACTTCTTGCATGCTCAGTATGCCTTGCTTTGTGATCTTTTTATTTCTCATAGAATGAAGCAGAGACTTCTCGGAGTTAGTGGAAGCATCACACCTTTCCCTCTGCCCTGTTTATTTTTAAACCAGAGGAAAAGAATGCAATCCCTGTGAAGCGCCCCATATACTAGACCTCATTCTCTTATATTTAAACAGAACCAGTTTCAGGAGGTCAGCGCTCTCTTTTTAGGAGTTAAATGTTCATCTATTCAAGCTGATTATACTCAATTTCCATCGATTCATGCTAATTATAATCCACCTAGTGTGATTATAAGATGTGAGGGAGAATCATCATAAAGGGTGGTGTGAGATGACTTACTCAGCACATATATTCATGGGATGAAAATCCTGAAGGCTCAAGCGTAATCCAGAGCAGTCAGCTTCACACAGAGCTCTGCCAAGACAAGCATTTTACCGGGTTTTTCGCATGAGCTACGTAAGGGGTGGAATTCAAACTTTTAAGGTCACCTTCTTATTTGGGGCATATATCCTCTGAAAAATGGGTATATTCTCTAGCAGAATCTCACACTTGAAGGGCAGAGGTTCCTAGAGCTTGGTGCTTTCCAGAATAACAGAATAAAGCTTGGTGCTTTCTAGGTGCTTTCTCTGACAACACGGAAGGTTTGGAAGTGAAAGGATGTGTCAAAAAAGATACCTTACAATACGTCCTGAAGAGAATGCTGGAGAATTCCTATCTTAGAATTAGACACTCAGTACCAAGAAATGGCAAGAGCTACAGCATCTGCCTGTCTCTGACATCTTCCCATGTCAGAGACACAACTGATGTAGATTACCACAACTAAAACCATTCCCACTTTCCCAGCTCCCAAGTGACATTGGAAACATATTCATTCCCTGGATATTGATCAGTGAAACACAGATACACTGGCTCTAGGAACCTCCTCTGCCATGCATGGGCATGTAACTGTATTACTCATTAGCACTCACCCCAACATGAACAAATAGGCAGGAGAGTGCTCACAGGTAAGGAGCTGTTGATAGTTCCCTTCTAGATGTGAATCAGACACTCTATTGACTCTCCTCCAATTTTGGGAGACTGTGTGACAGTCTGCCTCATCCTCATTTCATTATCAAGCAGAATAAGGGTAATAGCAACCTTGCTCACACTCTGAGGATGGCAGTAAATCATTTCTGCAGCTCTACATGTTCATTCAGACAAAATCAAGAAGATTCTGCCATCTGGTCATCTATTCATCTCCTGATCTAAATTAGATGAAATAAGCATTATGCCTCAGCCCTGCCTACGCTAGTTGTTATTATTATGCTCATCAGTAAAGTCATAATGGTAGTGACTTGCAGATCATCAAAATGCTCACAGGCTAAGGGAAATTTAACTTGGCAAAAGACTTTAAGCTTTCATTTATTTTTGTTTCAATTGGCATAAATGCCCCAAATATTGAAAACCTTTGAAATTGACTCTTTTAATGTTGTTCTAGATTATAAAAATCATAGTTTTGACACTTGTACACATTTTAATGGGCAGTAAGAGCATGAGCAGAGAGTAGCTATTGTAGTTAAGCCAATATTTCTTCAAACCCTGGTCAGATGAGGATGTGGCAATTTCTAAAACCTGTTGACAGTCAGTTGCTTCATGCAAGTTTTACCTACAGAACATGCTGACCAGAGCACACAAGCACCCGCGAAAAAACTCAGTAAGAGATAATCCCCTGCAGAGAGAAGGGGAGAGGAAAATGAGGTTTCTCATCTTGAAATCTAAGACAGTGCATGAATTTTTCTACACGAGGAACCTGGTGACTTCAGCCAGGATGATTACACAGACCTCGTTTTGAAAATTTCAGTGTAAAAGAACAAGGCACATGGTCCTAACGAACTGGAAGCAGAGCGCTTAGTGTTCCCAGCACATATAAATGTGAAAGAGCTAAGTGCAGCTGTTTTGCACATCCCTACAAATTAATCCCAAACATTTCACAGGACATTCTTTGGAGAAGAACTGTATCTGTGATCACGCTTCAGAGTACAAGAAATGCAGCCAAGAATCATGTACTGAGAAGACATGTGCATGTAAGGATAAATATTTGCCTGCATGCATGCACCCACACACAGGCACACTGAGTGTTTGCAAGACTCGTAATTCAGGACTGTTTCCTAAGCAGAAATAAAATTAAATTTGCGGAGAGTAAAGATCTGCATTAGTCTGATAACCAAAACTGTTCAGGTCTGTCAGGACAAGCATCTGTAATTACACAGCAAGCTGAATGACTGTAAGTAAGTTTCAGGACCGAAAAAAAAAATTAAAAAGAACATTTAATAAGTCAAAATTCAGCCAAATAATAATAATAAGCCAAATTCAGTTCCTTAAGCAGTGGATGAATATTGGTCATTTTAACACTCACTCAACCCCCCAGGATTCTCTGAGTTATATGGGTTCGTGTATCACACTCCCTTTTTCCAAAGTCCATCTATTCCTATCTGTTTCGGTTGGCAAATCCCAGAGCCGCTGTACAGAAATGACTGTCCACCATTTCTCAGTGTAGCAACTGGCAATCCACTGATGTTTTTCAAACTCCTCAACTAGGCGTGAGGGGATTCATTATAGCTACACCCCATTTATATTCCTTAGTTTCCTTCCCAGAAAAAAATCAGGGATGTACCTACAGACAGAGCCTGTGGCTATTCCACAAAAAAAAAAAAAAAAAAAAAAAAGACTGACAAAAGTTTTGCTCCAGGATTTAAGTGACCACAAGAAAGTCAAGCCCTATGGGCAGGATCACAGGAATAATTATAATTTGGGTGAGAAGCATTCATAATCTTTGAAAGCATCTATGTTTTGCTCAATATCTGGGGCTAGAAACACAGATAAAAGTATTGCAAAATTCAGTACACGGGCTTAAGTGGCAATTTGTTTCTTTACAGAGTAAGATCAATTTCAAATATTCACCGTAATATTTCCTTTGTCTTTAAACAGGGTCGAAATGGTCTTATATCGGTAAGTACCAACTAATTTGTACATACTAAGTTGTGGCTTTGTTCTCTATTTTAAGGACAACATGCCAAATGTATTCTGCTGAGAAATCGCTGGGTTCACTGTCTTTACCCAGATTTGGATCTGGCCCATTGTCTTGAAATCTGTTATTCATCCATCAGGTTTCGTATCCAGGTGATTGAGAGTCAATTATTGGGTTCTAAATTGCCTTGCAGAATGACAGGAACTTCAGCAGACTAAGATTGGCCCTACAGCTGCAGAGGTTCCCCAAAGCCCTCTGTTTCCCCGCCAGTCACAGACCAGCAGCACATTTCAGCCTCCTTCTGTAAAGAGCATACCTCTCCCAACCCACATGGATCTTCATTTTTAAATAGAGTCAGAGTTCAGCAAGTCACCTGTATCGTGTTACTGGAGACTCAGCTTCCTGAAAATCCCAGCACTGACAAGGTAGAATAAATCATATTCAGGAGAGCAGTGTTATTTTGTACAGTAGTCCTTTAAGTCAGCTACTAACCCAGAGGGATCTGATGGCTGCTCAGGAAGAAGAATTATCTACAGATTTTCTTCTAATTGATCAAATCCTCTGGCCAGTTATTTCCTCATTTAGAGTAGCGTTTATATGCCACATGCCCACAGAGAAGTAGGCAGTGCTGAGAATCTCAGAAAAAAATGCTTGTTCTTAAGCCTTTGGTGCTGCTCCAAAGAACCTCTGAGATTGAACTTGCTGCTAATAACTACTCCCTTTGGCTGTGCTCCAGTTTTCCTGACTCGCTTCACATAAGCAAAAGGAAAACTGTCAGCTGCATGTCTATAGGTATTAATCTAACTGCCAGTATGCGTACATATACTTCACATTCTCATTGGGAAAAAAAAAAATTGACACAGTTTGAATAACAAAAGCCTGGGTTTTCCACCTTGACAGCAGCCATCAGATGAACCTAACCCTTCTGGGTAGTAAGGAAAGCAAGACTTCTTTTACTACCATCAAAGTAGAAGTTTTGCCCTCCTTCCCAGGGTAATGCTTATTTAAATTAGTTACTTCTCCCTTTATGGGAATTTGGGTACCAGTGTTTATTTCAGAGTATGTTATTCTCAGTGCCCAACTTCATAAATTCCTGTTAAGTGCTTCCATACTTCAGTCTGATTTCTAGGATGTACTGGAGGATAGAGGGAAGGCTCACAAAACAGATTCTTATTTTTTTCCGTCAACTACTGATTTTCAAATATATCTAGAAAAACATATAAAAGCAAATTCAGAAAATTAAAGTGGCAACTGAACTTGTACAGAACAGTTCTTTTCATATACCTGGAAAAAAGCAGAGGTAGAACACTGGTCTGCACAGAGAAAAACAGCGATTAGAGAGACTGCAGTCAGCCAGAAAAAAGCCTTTCCATACTCTCCTACTGATCCTGGTTCCTTACAGCAGCCTACACTGCCCACCATTTACCTTTATCCCTGCAACACTTTGCAATGCTTCCCACTAAAATTAAGTCAACAGGAAGGGAAAGGATGTCAAGCCATTATAATCACAGTGCAGACTGATGTCAAGATGACGGTCAAGGTACAAGATTAAGGGTGGAGGAGAAATCCGGGTGCTGACTATCAATTAAAGTTCTATTTGTTCAGTACAACAATATGTAAAACTGAATGTTGATACAGCACTTGCAGCTCAGGGCAAGCAAGATGACACTGCATGTGATCAGGCCTCATCTTTTCACCGCAAGCTTTCCAAAGAAATGAGCATTTGGCTTGGCTATAATGGAAAATTCTGCATTAGATACACTAAATATAAAGGCTAAACCTCTCCTCTATTTGCCTCTTCCTTAGCCAAACTGCAGCAATGCTATTTGTTCTTCCTGATTTCACTACTCTCGTATATAGCCCAACAAAAAGTGCCTGGAAGAAACAGCCAGTGAGCTGGGGGTGAGCCCTCAGCCCCCTCTGACACAGGCTTGCTTTGTGTCCTCTGATGGGCTGCTTCACCTTCTGTAAAATGGACAAAGTAGATAAAGTATATAATGAGAAAAGTGTTTTCAGTTAAAGAACTAAAAGAATTGTTCCAATGACCCATAGCTCAGGACAGCATAGGCATGCAGGTTTTGGCAATGTTGCTGTGTGGCTGCAAGGTGCAGGCCTGAAGTCCTCTGCCCTAGAAGAGAATCGGTAGAATTGCAGAGCTGGGCTTCAATTCTTTGGATTCTGGCTTCCTGCTTCTGTAATGTAAGAGGGCTGGAATGAAATCAAAGAACCAGAATCACTCCTTGAGAGTGGACAAGCAGCTACAATGGAGAAAACTAGTTTTACAGCCAAGTTTAAAGTAATAGTGCCAACGGAATTATTAACGTGCTTTAGCATGTGAGGAGACTACTTCACGCTACAATGTAGACACAAGAACTGTCGTTAACAGACATCAGGCTAATTGAACTTGCAAACTCTTTAGTTTTACTGTTGCCAAATACTCTACTTCAATTCAGTGAGGTGCTGATAACCTGTGCGAAGACGCCTCCACTTCCCCTTAGGAAATGCCAGCTTTAGTGAACACACTAGAACATGCCCAAAATTTCTGATACAGTACTTGAATGGAGAGCAGGGACAGCTATAGCCCTTGGCAATTCCTCTATCTCACAAGCTTCCCTCTGGACACGTATGTGGAAGATATACACATACGGGATATGTGTACACAGAACGGTATGACTGAGCTCTGCCTGTGCTCTGAGTGAAACGGAAACCATGCGGTCATGTTACTGTGGCAGGGAGCCTGGAGTCTCAGCCTTGACTACTAACTCAGCCCTGGGCTAGCGGCAGCTAAGGGCAGAGTGCTCTGCCTGGCTGCAAAAATACCACAGACATTCCCTGTGTTACTGACCCAATGCATTTTACTACATTAGTTTACTTCAGATCAAGAGAACTTGGATACACCATGAGAAGCTCGAGCAACATGAATATTAATTGGTCATCAGAGCAAAAGTCTGTTGGTAACACTGGTGTCCCATAGGCCTGTTTTCTTCTTTTTTTAAGTCAGCCAATGTACACATCCTGGGAGCAGACACCATGTTGCTCCTAAAGGAACATCTGTCCTGCATCACCCAGCAATGCTAGGGCTGCGGGGCTGGCTGAAGGCGTAGGCATGGAAAGCTAGAAGCTGTCAAAGCAGATGATACGATGGACGCATGCAGCTATGGTGCTGAGGGTATTTTGCTCAGCTCACTGCGCAGCTGTGCAAGACTATCCAAAGAATTATTACAGACATCTTTTATAAAATAGCCATGAGGGCACAGCCAGGCTCAGGGTTATTTACAGCGTGGTAGGGCAACATGGTCCTGGAAACTCATGTAAAAGAAGGCAGCCCGCAAGCTGGATTTGAGCAACCTGATTTTGCACTCCCTACAGCAGAGAGCATTCATGGCTGCACTGGAGGCCGTGGTAGCAGGAGAGGTCCTACTTCCACCCATACCAACCGCTCCGTACCTTAATTTGCTCACTCCAACAGCTGAATAGTAGTGCTGGGTGTATAAGACAGGCCCATGGCACAATTATTGCTCTGCTGACACAGTCCTGACAGGATCCTCATAGCAGCAAACATCATCTGAGATGCCTGGGTCTTTCCCTTTGTCACAAATATTGTCACAAAATGAGGAAATTAACTACTAAGATATTTTTGCAATGCTTCTTATGTTAATACCTTTTGAGATTTGTACAGGCCATTCTTAACACATCCACATGCTGTTCTTTACTCAATAGTGATCAGACAGAGCCTGATCACACACAATGTGCTTTCCACTGAATTTCTCTGAATGTGCTGGCACAGAAAAAAGAAAATCTGGTTCACAATCAATCACTCATTTTCAACAAAGCTAGCTGAGAAATGCCTTCCAGCTGTGTGGTTTATCTACCATGGAAATCTCAATTTCACACATGCAAACCCAAGCTGCAGTGAGCTCAGCTCGAGACAGAGTTTTGCAGCACTGAAATTAGAAAGACTACATGGCAGAATTTCTAGAAAAAATGGTTTTGTACCAAAAAAGGCCTTTTGTTTGGTTTGGTTGTTTTTTTAAATTGAGCAGGAGTGAAAAACAAGCAAAAACTGCTGTAGCTTAGAGGCCTGTGAGTGGATTTGCAGATTTATGTCAAGGAAAGGATAACTGCTAGTAAAGATCAAGGTACTTAAAGACTGCAATAATTACAGCATTTTATAGAAAAGGCAAAAGTTTCCCTTCTGAACTGCTGATGCTGGTGTGGAAGTTCCCCTACTCTGTTGCCAGCTCTCAAGGGCATTCAATTAATCCAAACATAGTACTGAAAAAGTGAGTGGTACTCATGACATGGTTTCCACTGGCTGGGACTAGACTTCTATTTTACGCATCAATTAAAAATTATGTATTTAATTAACAAGTCTCCAAACCTATGATATGTAATATATTGAAGTCTTCTTGCAAACTCACTATCTTATCAGTGCACAGAAACCCCAAACCTTTTAAAATTACTGAAGTCTTTTTACAATAAAGGCTTCTCACCAATTTTTCTGACACTGCTGTAGTCTTAGCTCCCTGCAAAGTGTTAAATTTCAGTGTCATTGTCTTGCACATCAAGTTTCAACCTCAAGACTATCATTTCCTGTATATTCTGATACATGTTTTCCTGGGAAATATTCTTGAGTATGCATATCCCATAGTAGGGAATTTATGCTCTTCTGGATGGATCTGTTATTTCCCAAAAAATACATAAAGGATAGTGTACAGTCTTCTCTAATGTCAGCATAACATTTATTAGCTTTTAAAAACAATGTCAGTAACTTTAAGATAGTACCATGAAGATCTAAGAGGAGAGCAATCAATGTGATTGGCAGCGAACTGGAGTCAAAGATGTCAGTTACAGCAACATCAAGGCCTATTTATACTGAAAAGCACTGATTGAGTCTGAGTATCCACACTGCAAACAATGTCATGTGCTAACCTATGCCTTGAATAATCTTAAAGAGCTTTAACAAGGAAGTAAGTCTGTCTTTGAGCATCAGAACTGAATTGGCCAATTCTGTCACATGCACTGTTTAAGTCCACTATCCATATCCTTGGAAACTGTCTTTCACATAAAAAAGTGAGCTTCTAATAATATTCTCCTGACTGTTAATTTTCCTTCAGAAAAGATCTGAACTTGCTTTGCCACTGATGACCCAATCTAACATTAGATTCTGGCATTCACGATTCATGGAAGATGTTAACATACGGGAGAGACTTCAAAGAAGCCACACGGAATATTATGGGTTTGGGAAAAAAGCCTTCTAAGCAAAGACTCAAGGAACTCTATTTATTTTAAGAGAAGTGACAAACTATGTCCTCATATGTTATAAGTACTTCAATGAGGAACAAAAGTACGCTAACAGGAGGCTCTTCAATTTCTAAGCAAAGGATTAAAAGCAATCACTAAACAAAGTCAAAGCTAGACAAACTCACAGTGAAAAGCAAACTGCCAAGGAGAGTAATTATCCATTGGGCACTGATGAAGTATCTTTTACCTGCAATGCCTAAAGGAAGAGTAGATGCTTTTTCCCTCTGAAAGATATGGCCTCATTGAAGTAGAAATTAATCCAGGGAGGTTCAATGGCCTGTGTTATACAGATCAGGCTGGGTGATCCCAAAAGACCTTTCTGCCTTAGAAATAATAACGATGATTCTTCAGAGTCAAGGAGAAACACAAGTTGCAAGTACCTCTTTCGGTATTTAAATCCAAATGGTCTCAGCTTACAGCTTGCAAACAGCTGCTAGCTATTAATGTGTAATTAAATCAAAGGCACAATTAAAAATCTCTTGATATTATCTATTCTTTGTAGATCCTACCTAGGGCAAAAGACTGTGATGAAGAAAAGTTTCACCAGAGTTTGAGCAAGTTATTGCAGGTCAAATTATCATAACACCTTCCATTTTTGCAAGTTAGCTTTTCACTGTGGGTTATGCAATATTGCTAGATGGAGCCAAATAGTTTGTACGGTAAGGAAAAGTTTATAAGGGTCTGGCTTTCTGTGTACTGAAAAGTATGGAAACTTTCCTCTGCCAACATGAAGTCACTTCTTTCAGCAATTCTTTTCAGAAAGCTGGAATAGCTGCGTTACTGTGCATATGCCTGTTACTTCCATAGGGAAAAGTAATTCATGTCAGTAAACAATTCAAATACTGTCACAGATCCAAACTCTACTTGTCACAGTTGTGAGCTCTGAAGAGAGACAATACCATCACAAGAAGGTCAGAGGCACTGCGGCTGGCTGTGGTGCTGCTGCCTGCAGGCCTAACCTGGTGAGCTACCAGGCCTGCAGTTCCCCGAGAGTGTAACATCAACAGCAGTTGAGATTGTCAAAAAATTGAGGGGTGGTAAAGTGTCTCTATGTGAGATTTTTGTTGGCATCTGGTCCTTTTCTATCTAATGGCACACTGGAAAGATGAAATTAAGTTTTTTTTAAAAAAAAAGAGTCTTAAAAATTCAGAAAAGGCCCCTTTTCCAAATTTTGGGTGAAGGCTGAAACAGGGGAATTTTTATATTAATTGCGTAGTTAAGGCTTGACAAATGTGTCTCTTTGTTAATTTACACAGGTCCTGACGGAGAGAAGGCCTGGCCAAAGAAATATCCATTTTGTGGAGGAGTATTCCAATCGCCAATAGATTTCCACAAAGATATTCTCCAGTATGATTCTAATCTCTTGCCTTTAGAATTCATAGGCTATAATGTGTCCTCCACTGACCAGTTTACATTGACCAATAATGGTCATTCAGGTAAGGGAGCTCAACGACAGCAAGGGATTGTGAAGGAAGGAGTTGCTAGGGCTTGTGATTTTTTATTTAATGGGTGAACTACTTTGATTATCAGATGAAATCAAGCTGTGATGATGAAGCCTTCACATCAGCATACCTACATCTAGAGAACAGACTAGAGAAGCTTGGGAATGTACTAAGTACAAAAGGATTCACAGTAAGCCAAACTAGGGCTTTTAAATAAACTCTAGGCATGTCAGAATTAATTCCTGACCTTTTCTTATTACTTTGGTCAGAGTGCTCTGAAACAGAAACAGAATTGTGATTCTGTTAAAAAGAATATTCTGATAAAATATGGGTGCAATGGGTCTCTGACATTCCAGCCTAATCAAAGCAGCTCAGCTAAATTACGGGAGGGAGGGAGGGAGGGAAGAAAAAAAGAAATTGATGCTAGGAGCATCATTCTGTTCCTTTGACTTGAGATAGAAACCTCTTTAGAGTAAGATAAAGCAGATAGATAAAAAGATGGAAAAATAATTAGAAATAGGGTACAAACATGCCCTCCACTGTAGTACTAAATCAAAATGTCAGTACAGTAGGTAGAAGCAGAGAAGATGCAGTCTCATAAAGGTCTACTATATTGACACAATATACAGCATTATATATACACAAGTATATACACAAGTAAGCTAGTCCCACCATCTTTTGTTCCTTCCTGAAACATTTGAAGACATAGAAATAACAACAGTTATAAGGCCCTCCTTCTTTGTATCCTCCTCTATTGCATAAGCATAAAAGAACCTGTGTTTCAGGTTCCCCTCTTTCAGTGGGGTAAACCTGCTCTGTAGAACATCATACGCCCATTCTTCGTTAAGGGCCAAGCTCTTAGGGCATGGTTCCTGGTTCTTCTCTTGGTCAATTTCTCCATCAAAACCAGGTTGCTGTAGACTAGGGCTGGAACACCCTTTCCTTGTGAACCTTCTTTTCCTAAGAGCCTTTCTTGGTCCTGAGTGAAAGATTGTACTGTCACAGTTGAATGTATTAGGCTGATGTAAGTGACAGGCAATAGGCAGAGAAGGAAACATGGTCATTGTGGACTTCAACGGTGCCAGAGAGCAGGTGGAGACGAAAGAACAACACTGAGAGCCTGTCCCTCACATAATAGTCACACAGGTAAAAGCAAATTCCTTGTAGAGCCTATGTCACTAACATTGTCAGATCTTGCCCCTAAAACAAGAAGTTCAACTACTTCCTAATGAAAGCCAAGACAAAAATATATCCCTCCTCTCAGTAAAAAAGGGAATTCATTTCTAAGGTCAATGCCCTCCTAGAAAGCAGGGGACATGCGACCCACTCTAGAAACCTCACTCAGATGCAAACCTTAATTGCTCTGAGTAATGAAAAATTAGCCTCTCTTAGAGTGATCATTACACCATCTGCTGCTATCTTCTCTTATGGCTAGAGAGGAAATCAGTAGGATGCTTAGTATTGTGGTATCAGTCATTCCTACATATAATTGATGTGCTTCACCGGCCAGCTAATCCAGATACAATTACCTAGTTCAGCTAGACTGAAAACAGTAGAGCTCAAAAAAAGCTTTTTAGCACTAGCATAAAAATACATAGGTTTGCACTGTTCTTTCATTAAGGTTTTGAGCCTTGTTTCCCCTGCAAAACACGTCTGTCACACTCCAGAAACAAATTGGACTCACACTGGAAAATAATAAGGACAAATTGCAAAGAAATCGATCTGTTCTTCACATAAACCATTGCTTTATGAAGTACAAAACTTCTGAAGTGAACAACTTAGTTTCTGCTGAGTTGAGAACTACTACTGTAACTTCTACAAAAAAAAAAAAAAAAAAAAACCAAAAACCCAGCCTGTCTTCCACACTGGAGAGCATTAGTGAGCAGAAGAGAGGGTAATGCATACAAAGGTCTCCCTCCAGCATGTCAAGAGAGGAAATGCTAATTCTTAAGGCTTGTGATTATCTCGCTGCTTGACATCAATGCTCTGGGTTTTGGGGGGAGTGGGGAGAAGGGGAAGTTTATTGGTTATGGCATATGCTCCTAGAAGAAGATTAAGAGGCAGAGGAGTTCGATATAACAAGAGTTTAAAAACACCATGAGAAATATTAATTTATTAAGCCACTTTTAACCACTATAAGGGGATTGAAAGAAGGCACATGAGCCTAAGTATTGCTTCGACACGTCAATAATCGTCCCTTGAATAAGACTGAGATAATGTTGCATTCTTCAGGGAGAAGAAAGATTTCCATTAGCAACAATTCTCACATTCAATTCCTTCAGTTTAAGAAAACAGAAAAAGGGTATATTCTAAATTCTCCTGAATTGCCTAGAAAGGGTTAAAGACAACGAAAGTGTTTATCTTCTACCACAGACTGAGATGGATTTGAGTGAAGAATCTGCTTTGTTCATGCTCCATAGTAGTATACTTAGACACAGTATTTTTATTTGCCCTATGCTTGAAAGCTGTGGTATCATTTGCTCCCATCTGGTTTTGGTCTGCTTACAGTGAAAATGTACCTGTCGCCTACTATGTACATCAGAAACCTCCCGTTTGAATACACTGCATCTCAACTTCACCTACACTGGGGAAACAGGAACAAGTCAGAAGGCTCAGAGCACACAGTCAGTGGGAAGCATTTTGCAGCAGAGGTAAGACGAGCTCAGATCAGGGAAAGAAACAAAGAAGGTTGGGCAGGTTCCATTGTTTCAAAGTGGGGTCTTTATCTGTAAAAGGCTGCAAGGTTCTAGTCTAAATATTTATCATCTGGGTATATACTAGAAAAATGCATTGTGCATCGCAAAAAGGATGGACTCCAATGTACTTTGATGAATATGCCACAAGTCAGGGAGTTGGAATTTAGGTTCTAAACTTAGGGCTGGCACTGGGTCGCTTGAGTAATTTCAAGCAAATTGCTAGATATTTGACACCTTGGTTCTTCTCTGTAAACCAGATATATCTTTTAGCTGCACAACATTGCTTCCCTGTCTACCTTTACTCACCTTGTTCTATCCAGTGAAGAACTATCTGTTACCTTTTCTAATCCTAAATTACAGATTAGGGAATCGATTTTAAAAAGCAGTACCAATCGGATATTTACCCCAAAATGATTAAAAGAGAAATCAGTCAGAATAATTTGCTTGCATAACAGCACTTTAGGAATCCATTTCTTCTCTAGTTACATTTAACACTGGGTTTTGCATTCTAAACATCAGAGAGCCCCAGGAGTGCTAAGGGGTTACTTTTTCAGAAAAATTTACTAGTACTACAGTGAAGATGCCTTGAAGGTGAAGTGACTGATCCTCTTCCCCTCCCCCCCACCCCCCCATTATGTGTGTGTGTGGGTAACTCAGCTACAGCCGGGCTGGGAATAGGAGTTCCAGGACCTTTTGCTTTTCTCTAAAAAGATTTTACCACTACACCCAGAAATCACTGAAGGATCCCATTGTATTGTCTTGGCCTGAGGTGACTGCACTGGTCCTTTTTAGCTGTGAAACAGAAATGTGAGCACGGCCCAGACATTACCATAACATAGTATCTCCTTCTTTGTAGCTGCATATTGTACATTATAACTCTGAGAAGTATCCAGATGTAACAGCAGCAATGGAGGTTTTGGCTATTCTTCTTGAGGTAGCGTGCAGGACCTTTTTTTTTTTGTTTAGAATATGCTTTCAATCATTAAGTCATCAGAGACCTTTAACGTACAAAATTACCTAGATTATTTAACGATGCTGTGGCTGAATAAAAGTTCTTCCTCTTCCACAAAAAAGGGCCAGATTCCAGCAGCACATACATAAACAGGAACAAATTTTTTGGCTATTCTTCTTGAGGTAGCGTGCAGGACCTTTTTTTTTTTGTTTAGAATATGCTTTCAATCATTAAGTCATCAGAGACCTTTAACGTACAAAATTACCTAGATTATTTAACGATGCTGTGGCTGAATAAAAGTTCTTCCTCTTCCACAAAAAAGGGCCAGATTCCAGCAGCACATACATAAACAGGAACAAATTTTAAGAAAAGAGGAATTTGAATATTTCCTCATGTTTTTCAGTAAATTAACTTCAGCTATATTAAATCCATTTTTGCATTCATTTACAAACTAACGATTGGTAGAGTTTATCAAACAACAAACAACAGTGAATTTCAAGCCCACTTTCTAAAAACTGCCTTTGAGGCATGAAGCAGTTTTAACACAGCAAAGAGGCATAGGCAGACACAACCCTGGCTTTGGCCACTATATGTAATTGGGATTTGACCACAGTCTTCAGGTCACAAACGTCCCAGATTCTTTGAATCACAGATTACAGCAAACAAGTAAATTCAGTGCCCTTTTTAAGATGACAGAAGGGCAGCTTTCCAGTTTTCCCCTCTAAAGCCCCACATGCAAGTAATTAAAGATAATAATGATCTGAAAGAAAAATTTTTAGAAGCTTGTACATATATAATTCTCCTTTTTCTTGAGGATTAAAACTCCTCAATAAGATAACTATAATTTTTTAAATGTGAGGATTTTCTGCAGCATAAAAAAACCTGAAAACACCCAGGTTTTCACATTTCCATCAAAAAAGTGAAAATGTTCTAGTTAGCAGACAAAGCTCTAATTCTCACTAATATTATGCAAGCTTACTTCCTAGCAGCTCTAAGACTTGGACAATAATTTTGTGTAAAATTTCAGTTCATTTCTAAGTTGCAGCTGTGAAAAGTGTCAGAATATTGTATATTATGCTAGGGAATAATACTGGGATTCTGGTTACTTCTAAGCAATGGTGTTTAAAAATCAAATAAGGGAACAATGGAGATTAGGTCTTTGAAAAACTTTCAGACAGCTGGTGGCTATTACAGTTGATCTGAGGATACCAGTTTACTATGTCTGGTTGTCAGAGGAGTTGCTAAGCACGAACTCTAAAGAATTCATTAAAAAGGCATTGGTTATTAGACTGAAAAGCTGCTGGTAGCAGTTGAAAAACATGGTCTTGTTTGATAGTTGAGTTATAGCCCTTGCCAGCTAGTTCAGTTATAGCCCTTGCCAGCGGCCCTGCGGTAGCCAATAGTGTTATTCTTTATCTTCCTGGACTGTGAGGAGCAGCAGAGTAAAAAATGTTTGTGGGTGGAAAAATGTGGCTTTGACTAGAAACCAGTAGATGATCTGAAAAGCCTATCAGTTGAGAACTTATGCCTGCAACATTCTCAGAGGAAATGGTTTCTCTTCATTTGTGCAAGGGCAATAGGTCTTTCAAGTGCACCCAAGAGGTCTACACTGCAGTTGTTAAGATAGCATTATGACAAAGCAGCTCTAATATCTCTGGAGCGAGTAAGAGCATTAGTGGGGTTCTGAGGATAGTGTTAATGTTTTGAATAAAAAGAGTACTTACGCCATTCTAGTATATGAATATCTGGACAGTGGAGACACTTGCCTTATGACAGAGGCCATGAAATACTGCTGTCTGCTGTGTGCAGAAGCAAAGACTTATATTCAGACTGCGGTGATTTGCACAGCTGTTAATAGTCTGCTCATTACAGATTGGACCTTTCAACCCATCCTATGAAAAGATCTTCAGGCACTTCCGGAATGTGAAATACAAGGGTGAGTGGCTATAAGCCTGCATTGGATTGAGAATGGTTAAGAGTATCAGATGTCGCCCTGAGAGGGATTGAACCAGCTGAAGAAACAGTCCAGAAATCCCAGGCAAACCTGTCACAAACTGTGAAAGACTTACAAATGCAGTGCATTTCTGTGAAGAGTGTATGGCTAGCATGCACCACGTGTTTCTGACCGGGCCTTATTTCTTCCACATGGTGTTTTTTTGGTTAATATGGCCACAGTTTATCTTACAGAATTCTGATTTGGTATCTAAGACAAGATTTGTACATAGGAAACCTAAAAAGCTTAGGTATTCCTTATTAAACTGGGATCATTTCTGTTAAAATGTATTTTTCTTCTCCTAGTGATATGACTGAAAGCATCCTACTTGCTGAAAAGCAAATTCATTTCACTGGTGCACTACCTGTGTAGCAAAGATGCAGCATTTAACACCAATCCCCTATTTTAGATCAGATGGTCCAAGTCCCTGGTTTCAATATTCAAGAATTGCTTCCTGACAGACTGGAAGAGTATTATCGCTATGAAGGATCCCTGACAACTCCTCCTTGCTACCCTAGCGTTCTCTGGACAGTTTTCCGACACCCCGTTAAAATTTCACAAGAGCAGGCAAGTTTAATACAGCACATGTTTTCCTGATTGGTATCTGCTAAAGAACAGTAAATGCATATTCTGATTTCCTGGATTTCTCGTACGTTCTTGTAAAACTGAAAAATGACCATTGCTAAAATCCTTTAAGTGGAAAGAACAGCACAGAACTGACATAAACCAATATCCTATTCTGTTTGTAGTTAGCACGTTTTCAGTTGACCAGAATAAATAAAGGACAGACAACTGCATAGCAATTGGTATAGTATCAGCTTGAAAAATCACAGTCAAGTGAGATTAATTTCTGTTTTCACTATGTACTTACTCCCTGCTTTGAGTCTTTCCATGAGTCACTTCCAGATCGTTTTTCTTCAGGCTTCATGTCTGAATCCTATTCACCAAGTATTTTCGTGCTACTTTGATCCTGACTGACTTAGGTATGACAGGTTGGGTAGATGCTTTCTAAAAAGCATGTAATATGTTATTTGTCCATCTTGAATCCCCTGGCTTTTCTCCAACTTAGGTTTTTTGTGCTCACCTAACTTTTTTAACTTTTTTTGTTCTTAGGTGGCCACTTACATAGACTATAAACACAGGGGAAAAATGGTATTATCAAAATCTCTGACCAAATCACTGCATGCTCCTTGTTATGAAAGTCCATTCTTAACTTTGTCCACTCTGCCAGATCATGTCTTTACCAAAGTAGAGTTTTCTTTCATAAAGCAGCTTTTAGTACTGCTTAGGAGTTAGACTGTGCTAAGGAGAACATGCTTCAAAGGGACACCATGTTTCCTCCCGTCCAGTTTTCCTGGCGGATAATTAATAAGCAGGATTAATTTTATCAGGATGTAAACAAAATACAGGTATGGGTTTGGAGATGTCACACTGTTTACACATTATTCTGTATTTCGACTTACAGGCCACGCAAGACTTAAGTATTACTTAATGTATCCTCTTCCCTTTGACCACCCCTTTGATTTCAAACACACGCTGTCAGTGACCATACACTGGCATTGCTTTTTCTGTATTCTGGGAGCTGAACAGGGTGCTTCCCTTTATAGTTACTGGCACTGGAAACAGCCATGTACTGCACAGAGAGTGATGACCCAGAACCCCTGGAAATGGTCGATAACTTCCGAAATGTTCAGGAATTTCATGAAAGACTGGTTTTTATCTCCTTCCGTGAAGGTAAGTTGTATTAACGCTTCTATGCAAAGAAACAGTGCACAGTGATTTGTGTAAACCTGAAATACTCAAGTGGCAGTCCTGTTGCACTGTACCACTACAAAAATACAGCAATCTCATTTTCCCGCAGTTCACTTTGTTCCCTTTTCTTCTCTTACTGTATTGTTCCATGGGCAACTGTACGAGAATAAGGTATTCAGAGAGTATATAAGAATTTTTTTTTTTCCACAATGGGTATCAGGCAAGCCCTGCAACCCTTCTGATCAAAGGCAAGGAGATAAAAGAAGGAAGACATGTTTGGCCTTGTCATGCTTAGCAGAAATATTTGCTGTCACTCCAAACACTCAACAGTTCTCCACAGCTGAGCTGTTTCAGTCAGCGTAAGTGCTTGAACTGGCCTTGTCTCACCAGTGACATTTGCTGGTTCTCAGCAAATATCAGGATTGTTTTTATGCAGACCACACATTTAAAGGCAGTCACTACTTTGCCTTTCAGGGAGACTGTTTTTGGGATCTTACATAGAATCAGGAGAGGTCCTTGAGGAATTCAAACTTGACAAATAAAAATAATTCATAACACTGGATTGTATGATCCAGTGCTACAAATTAAAAAAAATTTGCCATCATACAAGGAACAACTGATTTAAAAGCTTAATTATGCAGTATTACACAATGACAATGCATAGGTTTGGGGGGGGGAGTTGCACAAAAACCTGAATCTATGGTGATAAGCTTAGCTGTGCCCCACAGTAAGGCATTTGAGTATATTGTTTGTGCAAAATGTATTGTTCCAATTTCTGCGTTGTCTTCCAAACAAATACTCTTAAGCAGTTGTGAAACTGGCACATACACTGAAGGCAGATGAATCTAGGCAAGCCACTATACTATTTGAAATTGAGAGTAAAAGATTTTTAAAAGAAAAAGCAGACTTTGCAAAAAAAATTGGCCAAGCAGTAAACTTTCAAATTAATAAAACGTGTTAGCACATCATTTCAACTTTGCCTGCTAGTTTCTTCACTGTTTAGATGAAAGAACAGATAACGCAGGAGTTGTCTATATTGGGAAATTTCACACAATAACCACTGCAGGGAATGGTTCTCCCTGCAGGCATACTGCAATAGCTGTTCTGGCCATTCCCCTCTGCAGACAGCCCCTTTCATAATACATCTTTTCTAATATAAAGCTATAAAGGAGAAAAGTGAAAGTTAGAGATCAGCCAAAACAAATCCCAGACAAAACATTTCTCTGAAATCAGAGATGATTTAGATTTGTTACCAAAAGTTGGCTGGTCTCTTTGTCAGATTAGCTGCATCAAAACTCCCAAACAGAGCAGAGTGGAGCATCAGCACCATTTGGCCCTTATTTGAAGCAAATCTCCATCTTTGAGATAAAACCCAGAGACAATTTCAGAAGTCATTCTGTGGCTGGGGACCATTTCAGTTCTCATGGAAACATTTTTAAATCTTTCTAAAGCTTCTCATAAGAGCAACATAATGTTGTGGTTTAATCCGGCAGGCAGCAGGAAGCCAAACCCCACGCAGCCCCAGTGGGACGGGGAGAGAATCGG